TCCGTGCCCAGGAACACCCTACAGACTCATCTTCTTGCACTTTCTGAATCCCCCTCTATCCTTGCTGCACTCTACTCCACTTCCTCTACCATTCTCAAACTCCTAGGAGACTTCGTCAAAGACTGCAATTTCATAAATATGCTTTAAATCACCTCTTTGTCCCTTCTACCTCCAGCCCTCTGTCTCCCTCAACCACTACTTCTTCACCAACCTCTTCTAGAGCTCTACATGCCTGCTGGCTTTCCTCCTTCATTAACATCTGTCCACTATACTCAACTTTCTTCTTCCCCTTCTCTCCCTACTATGCATTACTACAAGACCGAGAGTCCAAAGCACTTACCTTCTGTAAGAGACAAAAATACTACATTCGACAAACGTTCCTCAAACGAGAAACTCTTCTCCTAGCCACCTCCAACACCCTACAACCAGCACCGACAAACCTCCGAAATAAGTAAGTATCCAAATTTATGTCTCTCTTCCTATTCTAATTTATATCTTCACTTCACCACGCCAGCTCATCACCTGCTCTACCTTCCTATTCTGAAATAGGTCATGCACATATTCATCTCCGGCTCTTCTGCTCCCTTCATTCTACTTCCATATTACCTCCATCTCCAAATCCTGCTCTCAAAATATTCCTCCTCAAGACGCACTTATCTATACATTTTTTCACATATATCTGTCCTTACTCTTAGAAATCTTATCAATCACCTTACATGGGCAAGTTTGCACGAATATATGAATTAATGCTACATTATCTGAATTTTCCTGACCTTACCATCCTTCGCTTTCCCTTTACTCTATGGATATCTCAAGCTTTCCCGGTCTCTCTCCCCTCTATTATAATTATTTACCTTATATATTTCTCTTCTCTCTAATAACCTCGAAAGGGGCCACTCTATCTCCCCCTTTCCCTACTAAACAAAATCCTCCGTCCATTCCTTTTATCCATTTGGATTTAGACTCTGTCCCAAAGATTTCTGAAAATCCATGCACTAACCATTCTAGACTGATATCTAGATTCCAGTGTACTGAAAGTCATAGTTCTTTGGCATCGTCAAGTTCTCGGGAGCCGATCAGGACATCGAAATCGGGACGCCAAGCGACACAAGAAGAACCAAAACAAGGAAATTGGTTTGAGACACTCCTCCAAAACTGTAAGAACTTTCCTTTTTACCTTACCCCCAAAATTTTTTAATTTTTTTTCTTTTTCAATAATTACCCTTTCATCTTATATTTATGAATAAAATTAGTCTAAATTTTTCTTCTCTTTTTATTAATTTTTTCCCCTTTTTGCATTTCTATCAAACGTGTAATTCCTCAATCCTACTGAAGTTATTATATATGATAATATAATTTCTATGCGCAACTAGATATAACTATTCTATGTTGTTAAGTTCTCCTTACCATGATTATATGCTGTATTTACTTGTTTATATACTTAAAAAATATATTTATTTATTTATCTATATATTTATTTATTTATAAATTGTTTTTCTTCCTCTACGTACAACCTGATGGAATCTACCGTATATTCTATTGTACAGTATATATGAAAGAATAAAATGTGACAATTAAACTACTTATAAAACTTCACAAGTCGACATGCTCTATTACTGCATAATGTACTTATGTTTTCACCTGTTTTTTCTTTTTTTTTCCCTCCCTCTCCTGTAATATCGTGTAAATTTTTAAATATGTTAAATATTTAGTGCCTCCTCGATGCAAATATTCACTGACTGTGGACACAACTATCTTAAAATAATATTATTTACCTAATTTTCTTACCTACACTCATCACATAGTTCCACCGTCATCATACTCATACGTATTAGCAAATTAGGTTTTTCTTCTCTTCCTTTTCCTCTATTGGCCCTTTTTTTTTTCTTTATATATATATATATCTTTATAAATTTCTTTCCTCTCGATTTCACTATGGGCCATTTATTTTTTAATTTATTTTGTCCCAACTTTTCTTTCGGGCCTTTTGAACTCGTATAAAACAATACGAAGTTCCTTTTTACTATCCTCTAAATCTCGAAATTGCCCCCTTTCTATATACCTTTCCTTCGCACCTATGCTTGATTTTTCGCCCATCGGTGCAGAAAGACTTAGCGGGTGCAAAACAAGACATCTGTCTACTTTGTCTGTCTGTCTGTCTGTCTGCAACAGTTGTAGTTTTTCTTGTGTGATATGTAGAAACGTGCTGTGCCAAGTGGGCGTGAAATTCCATCTTTTAATAAAGCCTCTACTTAATTATCATCGGCCTCTGATTCACCTTTTTTTAAATCTTTACAACTACAAAATCCATATTGTTAGTCTGCGAAATTTTGCAGACTGTCCATCATCTTCAAGTACATTACGCGTTCGAAATTTTTCCCGATAATTGAAACTAAGCTGAGGCGTCCATAGCTGCTAGGCAGATCTAGACTTTTGAGCAGCTTTAAAATCATAAAAATATTTGCATGCTTCCACTGGTTAGGAGAAGTAGGAATTCCATAAACAGGCATTTTAAATACCGTACGAGTGGGAGATGTGTTTGGTCGGTAGATGTTTCATCATCTTGTCACGTGATCGTGACCGGGTACTTTATTACGTACGGAAGTCTTGATGATTTCGCTAAGAGAACTGAATTTTATACTGTTGTTCTCACCATGGAAACATAATCCAGTTGTTAACTGCGTCTTTAATTAGTTTATCTCATTCATTATCCCATTCATCTCATTCATTATTACTAGGGAATTTGTTTGATTTCAATTGATTTGCTAAGTTCTTGAAGAAAATACCAGATTTTTCTTGATTTCTGTAGACAAAGCCCTACTCCATTCTGATTGGTTGGCTATGTGGATGACTCAGTTCTAGTTAATTAATATTTTATACCTAAATCACTAGGACCTGTGAATAATTATAAATTATTTTACTATCAGTTTTTTGACAGAGGTTGGGGCGCACGCCCAAGTACTCTGGGATTATACCCTTCAATGAATGTACAGTTTTTTACGTAGCAATTGCTAAAGGAAGCCGCCACCTAGGTTATGAAAACAGATCTTGGCTTTCCAAGTTTTTAATTTTTGTTCTTGAAGAAGTACGTTGATTTTTCTATAATGTTTATTAATAATGGATTTGATGGAGGGATCCCAAGTTCAGTGACAAAATTTTCAAATCTGTTTTCTCTTGAATAAGATTTCGTATATGCCTCGGAATGCGACAGAGATTTTCCTCTGGTTTTATACATATGGTAGAATGCTGGTAGAAGTCTGAAAATTTTGTAGTGTACTTGTAAACTGCGTTGTCAATGTCTTTTCTTGATTTTAGATTTTAACGCTTAGAGAGGTTGTGAAAGTGAGATTACGAAATAAGTTTTATTCATCAGCGTTTACGGGAGGAAGATTTTTTTGACCTGGTGGAGCCAGATCGGACGAACACTGATATATGATGAGTTGTTTGGTTAGTAGTCACTTCCATTTCACGAGAAAGGGAATGGAGAAGATAAGAGAGTCCAGAATATCATACCAGCAATTTGGGGTATTAGGCTTGTATGATAGTTCCTCCAGAATACGAAGATAAACATGAGGATTTTTCACGTAGTTGTAAATGGAGGGGCCATTACCATTTGAGCTATGGTAACCCCAGTCATTATGCTTTGCGTTAATATTGCTTTCAGTAATATTGGTGGTTGATTTTGGAGAAGTTTCGTGAGATGTTAGTCTGAAATCAAATTATATGAGGGGTTGTACACCTCACAAAAGATGATGTTTTCGTCTTTAGGGACTTCGACATTAACGTTTGCTATTTCATCCTTTAGTGTTATCTGAGCTGACAAGGCAGGAATTTAGAGTTCCTTTTATATTTATAATGGTACCTACTCCGCGATGACTGATGTGATCACATTTGCAAGTTCAATAATTGGAGAAATGCAGGTTGTGGTGAGGAGCGGCTTGCGTATTAGTCACGAGAAAAATGTCCACGTCATTAGCAATCAAGAAATCATGATATTCTTGGATTTTATTGATAATGCTACAAACGTTCCACAGAGAAATCACAACTGGTAAGCATGTTGGGATGGTATGCCTATCCAAGATGGGGAGTTTATCTGGATGTTGCATTGTCACATTACTTATTTTGGTGATGAGTTTGGGCAATTTACTGGATGCCCGTGTCTCTCAGGAGTGATACGATGACTGTAAGGACCTCTAAATTTCCTCAGCTTCAGTTAGCTTGCTGGAGAGAGCTTTTTCTTGCGTTTCCAGCGGGTTGTGAAATCTTAATGTAACTGCTTTGAAAGCTATTAGCCGAAGAAATATGCGTCATCAGAATTGCTATATTTATTCTCTAAGTTCATATTTATGTACATCCATAAAGAAAAGTCTACAGCAGGCACATTTTAAATAATTCTTAAATAATTACGATTCTCAAAATCCTGACCCTGTGCGATAAAGAAATGCGTTCTTTCTATAAAATTTCTATGGTGTTTCTAGACCTTGAAATTTTAACTTTTAATTCCTTTCAGGTTTTCAGTTCTTACTTTTTAACTCTCATGCACAATAATGTTATATCATAATGCCAATAAATAAGAAAAAAACGTAAAAAATCAACAGTTCTAAACGAAATTGTATTTTTCGTCCAAGTTCGCTAGAAGCTGTCTCTCATTCTGAATGCATGTTTTAACGAAATAAAGCCAGGTTCTCAGTTTTTCATAATAAATACGTACCACAGTATTTGCAATGCACTGAAACCCTTTAAATATGTAGGATGGACTGATTAAATATGTTCCTTTAAATAGGGTGGTTGGAATGATGACATTGCGCAACATCTGGAATCATAAAAAATATGTTAGCCATAATAATAAACTTGGGTTGGTAACAAATAATGTAATTTCGTGCACAGAATAGTATGAAATTATTTTTTCTTCAGTCATGTGATTTACAACCTCTCTTCGTATCGCCGTAAAAGTATTTCATTATGCAGTAGCTAGATTATCAAAAAATACAAAATAAATTTGGCAGGCTCCCAGTAATTGCATGTGTATATGCGCATGGCATGTGACCTGAACTTGGTGAAAGTAATTGCGATACTGTTATTTGCTTTAGGGAATATATGCTCTGAAAGTCTTTTTACTTCTATTGATATTTCGAATTAGTATTTACATATTAATGGATGATTTTAATATGGAGACAGGTATATCCGTCGGAGGTGGGACTTTTCACTCAATCCTGGTAAACAAAGAGATACTTCCACCTCCTATGAGAGGTACATCTAAATATTTTTTTTTTTTTTCCTAAATTTTCATTTGAATATTTTGTATTGTTGTAAACATGTAATATCTATATTAAATGTTTAATTTTCATTTATTTCAAGTGTGAGAAATTTGCTAGAAAAATTCAAGGACATCATTACTTAAGTAACGATAGTTGTTATACTTGTGTAGTGAAGGTCTTGATCAAAGTTTTCAAAACAGATAATCGTTAATGAAACGCAGTTTATCAACTTAGAACGCATGGGTAATTCTAGAAGGAGAATGCAATGTTTTTAGTTAATGAAATTTCATATTACAGAGTAAGTAAATCACGTAGTCTCTTATTTATGAACTGAACTCCATAATTAGTAAAGAGAACCATTTGTATATTTAAAATTTTTACGTAATGCTATTAAAATCATTATTTTGCATAAACATGCAGAGTCATTGCTTACGATTCACTTAAGATCAATAACAGCTGTTACACATGTATTTATGTAAAATTTATTTCAATTCGTACATGCATGTAAAATAGGTAAATGTTCTATCTAATGAAATGTTCTTAAATGTTATAGTACTATCAGGTACATTCCATGCAGCTTTCTGTAGTTCAACAGATTGAATCTGTTGATTAAATTTTGTTTTTACACCTCCGCTTTTGCTGTTTTTCAGAAGTTTTAGATTATTCTAAATGCATTTATGAATTAGTACTGCTTCCATAAGTGATAAATCTGCAGAAAACTAGATAGAATTTTTGCTTGGGTAAGTTTCTTCACTCAGGTGTCATTACCATGATAGATGCAAATAGGTTTATATCTGTTATTACCATTTTCATTAAAGTGTGGAAGTGAGTTTTTAAAGGATTGTTAACAGAATTACTATTTTTTGAAATGTTTTTTTTTTTTTTTTTTTTTTTTTTTTTTTTTTTTTTTTTTTTTAAATCCAGTTTTATTTGCATTAAATATCTGCTTTCAGTTTTGATGAAACAAAATGTTTTCATCAGTTTTGCCAAGTAAACACAAATCTTGATTTTGTGTAAATTTGTATAGAGATCCCATTACTTATTTCTTATTGTATTTTTTTAAATATTCTTCCTTATATGATCTTAAGCTTCCAGCAGCTTCTCACCAAATGCTTTGACAGCAACTTTAAAAGTTTTCAAGTCAGAGTGCAATAATCTTTGAGTGCATTTTAACTACTAAATGTAGTCAATATGATTATAGTGATACACATAAAATATAAAAACGTTTAGAAGAGGTCATCCCCATATGTATCCCATATTTAACCCTGTGAGTGCTGTGAACCTGTATATATATATTCATGTGCAATTGCTTAATATTTCTGTTTCTCCAAATTTGTATAATATATCCTAAATTGATTACACAAGTTGAGGTAAAATGTGCCATACATGCAGTGAATGGGGAGGGTTATACTGAATTTTCATTAAAAAAAATAATTAAGTAAATAAGGATCGTGCTTTAATTTTTATAAAAATAAATCATTAAAATCAATGACAAATCTGCATATTGCAGAGACTATTAATACTTACAAATGTGATTTGTATCGTAAATACTTACTATGCGATTTATATTGTAATTAAATTACATGATCATCTTGCAGTGAAAGTGCATTTGAAGACTTGAAGGAATCCCCGAGTGATTTCTTGACCTGTAGATCACTTTTCTTCCCTTAAACTGATTTACAGTAGAGCAAGGAGAGATAAACCAGTTAAAATGCTTTCTGCTTGTGTCATTTTGGACTGAAATACAGTCTTCTGTCTTAAAACTTTTCATTCATGCAGACTAGAGTTATTTTAATGCATTGTGCATAACAACTACATATGACTTAATTTTTTTTTCTAAGGTTGAAAATACTTTTTGGTAAAACTTTTAAATTTTACCATTATGTAAAGTTCTTCCTGCTTGTGCAATTGTAATTAATATCATAAAAACTGGTCTGATAGTTAAAAGCTGTACTGAGCTTTCTAAATTAACAGTATGCTCTGTGTATTAGTTTCATAAAACTAAGAGGATAAAAATTTTAATCTATATTTTCTTTTTTTATCCAAGAGTTTATTAGTAGTTTTTTAGTGGGGGAATTATTGGCAGCAGTCACTAACGTATACCGAATTTAACAATTTCGGTATACATACCGAAATTATATAATTTGTACAGGTGTTCAAAATTTTTTATTATTTGAAAAGCAGGCAATCAGTTTTTTTTTTTGGTCCACTTAAACTAGAGTTTTGTTGCAAATATTTGTAATTACTATATTCATTCTCATATTTACATGAAGTAACAAAATCTTTCACTGGAGGTATAAAGCAGACACTTGGTGAGCTCAGTCTCTGACAAAATGTCCTTATGAGAATTGCTAGAAATATCACTCTCTTTAGAAAAGGAATCATCACTCTTATCCATGTCTTGGCTCATTTACGATGTGAATGTATCCTTCCTCTGATAAATAGTGCTTGTAGTCCATAATAAACTGAAGTCTAGGCTGTCTGAAATAAAAAGGGAAATACATGAAATATAAGCGATAAAAGCAGTGCAAGGCGTAATAGAACCCTACATAGTAACTGTAAAAGACGTTGCATAGTAGTAAAAAAAGATATAAACATCAGGAATACAAATGTTTATATCACGTGACGAGTCAAAGAGCCAAGCTCTGTTTGTTAACATTACGCTTTCCCTCCTACCCTGCAATACCTGACATCAACATTACACAGGATGTTATCAAACTGAAAGTCAGTATCCTAAAATTATACTGAGTTTAAAAGTAATGGACACAGCACTACATCTAGCGGTTTTTAGAAAAATGTTTGGTTGATCTTTACAATATGGTAACTGGTAGTTTGGCGACATTTTGGAAGCGATAAAGGTTACTACCTGGCACTTTGGTAATAATGTGAGCAGTACTCAGTTCCGATTACGCATTATTTTGTGTGAGGGAAATGAGAGATCATGGGATATGTCATGTGATATTAATGGACGAATTACGGTTCTTTAATCGGAAAAGGGGAGAAATCGGGAAAAAATCTGGAAATTTTGTATTTGGCTTTATTCTGTGTTGTGTGAAACAGTGTTCATGAATTTTTGAATCCCATGGCCGTAACTAAAGTGAATTCGAAATGGGTATTTATGTATGTATTAATTTAATGTATGTGCTCATTTATATTTTAAGTAGTGTTTTTTAATTTAATTATATTTTAATTAAATGATAGTTATTTTGTGAATTTTATGTTTGTAGGAATTTGGTATACGTTTTAGTTGAAGTAAATGTGCATTTAAATATCTGACACTAAGTATTTGTAATGGTTGCGGTATGAATTCGTTGGTGACGTGTATAATGTAATATATGATTTAGAGGTAAAAGTTTTTGGATATTTTATTTATTTTATATGTGGAAATGTTCATATTTGGAAAGGGTAAATACTTTTTCGCGATCAGGTAATTTCATTTATGTTCTTTTTACCAGGTTTAAAGATTGAGAAAATTGTCATGTATTTTCGTGAAATTTTTCTAATTTATGAGAAAAAAGCAGTGTACATGGATATAGTGAAGAGTGTGCGCAATGCCATTTTTGTGCAATTCTGGGATGTTTTTTTAAGTAAAAATAAGTCGGCGTGTACATGGTTTATGTGTATGTGTTATTTTGAAAAACGCGTAAGGAGTATGGTATTGTGCACTTTTTCCCAATTTTGCAGTGAATATTTGTCATGATTAAGCAGTTTTGTTAGATAAAATTTCTAGCATAAGTGTAATTCGGCTAGTAGATTGTTGGAAGAATTGTTCAGTAGATAAAAAGAAAAGAAACGTGTCTTTACTTCGTGAAGGCAAAATGGTGGCGGGGAAAAAAAATAGAGGGTTGCTGGTCGCCAAATTTTCGCCAAAAGATCGCCAAGTTACCATAATATAAAGATCAACGAAATGTTTCAGCTTAAAATACATATATGGATCACCCATCCCTTACATTTGCTCTCCAGTGATGCATGGGTGGGATCAGCACCCCCTAGAACTTAACTCAAGGCCTCACAGCGTGGAGTTCGTAACGTCAGTGTAGTAGGGATACTTTCGTGCTCGCTAGCTTAAGGATGTGAGTATTTGCCTTTTTCTTAATAGGCTTATAAATGAATTGAACTTAAATTTTCATATTTAGTTCTCATCGTTTATAAATCTGAAAAATTCCTTGTTTTCATTAGAATGTGAAGAACCGAGATTTTTCAGTTATTTTTTGTATGAATAAATATAATTTTTAATTCTATTAAAAGTTATCATTACTGATTTTACCAAATTTAATTGCTGAGATATTCTTGTTAACGAAAGGAACGTCACACTTAATGAATTGGAATTTAATTTGTATGCAATAATGAAACAGAAAGACTGTTTAAAATATGAAAGCAGGATATAGATACAGAATCCTAAAAAATGAAGATAAATCCTAACTCGTTTAAATTAGGAAGATAGTTTACCTGGAATCATGTAGTAACACAAAATCATTAATTGAAGACAAATATAATTCATCAAAGGTGTTCATTAGTCAAGTCTCTTAGTAATTATACTTACTACAATATCATAATAATATCATGTTTAGTATAATTGACTAATAAACATCTTTGATAATTATAAATAATGTCTTATTTTTGACATATTTTGCCATTAATAACAGTAATAACAATAATATATACTGGTATTTGAAAAAATAATACTAAGCTTGCAATGATTTAAATAAGTTTTCATAATTATGAGACATTAATTGCACACAGAGAATTATACATTATTTTGCATTCTAAAAAGCAAATAGCAGACCTCTGATATAGATCTAAATAGCAAACCTTTGATCGCTATAGGTAAATTTTATAACACGATTTAGTAGTAGTATATCAAATGTAAGTGTAACAGCTCTAAACTGGGATATTGAACACAACAAATGAAAAAGAAATTATCAGTTCATTATTTCTGTCAAATAAAACTACTAAAATATAATGTCCTAAAATTTTACATTACAGTTCTAA